GCCGGGGCTGGCGGGCGGGCTAGGGGCCCTGACATTCCTCTGGGCCCTGCCTGTTTACTTGAAGCTCATCAGAGGAGCTCTCTGACGCACGCACTCCTTGGCCTGGTGACAAGGACCCGTGGGGACCCTTTCCTCTTTCCTCTCTGGCTCCTTTCCCTTCAGGTGTCAGCTTGGCTGATGCCTCCTCCAGGCAGCCCGCCGTGATGAGTCCCTCATCCACTCTCACAGTGGCCCCTTCGCTCTGCTCCCCACTGTACTGGGTCGTACTGTGATAGTGCCTGGTTCCACTGTCCACCTTCCCAGCTCCCCCTACACCTCCTCCTCCCAGGCCTGCTCCCCCTGGACTGGAAGGCAGACCCCTCTTTGCCTACTTAGCTCATCGTCTGGGTCTTAGCGCCCCAAACTCCTCATCTGTTAAGGGCACAATGGCAGCACCCACCAGCTGGCAGAGTGTTCACCAGGGATGAGAGCACGCTCTCCAGTTCCGGGCCCAGGGCTGGGCATCAGTGTCCCCATGACTGTGAGCTCCTGTTGTCGGCAGGCCACACTGAGGAAGGCTCTCCAGCTGCCTGCTCCAGCCGCAGGATGCCTGCCCGACAGCTGTGCCGGGAGCCTGGTTCGGAGCCCTAGGCTGTCCCCCGCTGGCATGACTGAGGGCTGAGCTGACACCGTGGGCTTCCTGCCCTGATTAGGAGCAACTGGGCAGTTGCCTGAGCACAGAACAGGCACCATGGTCCCCATAGAGGATGGGTGTGTTGCAGGGGACATGAGAGCTGGGCTCCTGGCTCTGCCTCTTACCAGCTGTGGGATCTTGGGCAAGTTGCTCACCCTTTTTGCCTCAGTTTCCTTGTTTGTAAAACGGGCATGATAATAGCTCCTGGTGTCATTGTGAGGATTACATGACACAGTGCTGCATAAAGCATTTGCCATCATGCACATAGAAAGTGCTCAGTAAAGGTCAGCGATGGCTTTCTACGGTTTTTTTTTTTTTTTTTCACTAAGTCATCTACAAATATTTACTTCCCCTCCCCACTGTCCCACTCCTTTCTCTGCTCCGCTCTCACCTGCAGACTTCCACTGATGGATGCCAAGCAAAGCACACCTGCCCCTCCTGCCTTTCATAAGAGTCTCTGCAGAACCCACAGAAATGTGAGGCACGTAACTTGAATGGTGGACTTGTGGACAGAGTGATGGGCAGGGGAGCTCTGCGGGGGTGGAGGTCTGGCTGGAACATTCCAGCTGCCTCCTAGCAACACTGAGGCCCACTCACCCAGGGCAGCAGGATACACATCTCCTGCAGGCCAGGGGCCTGGCTGTGCCCCTGTGGTTGGTCGCTATGGACTGATGCCCCCAGGGGGCTGAGTGCCCAGCGTGGGGGTGGGGAGCTGGGCAAGACCCAGACAAGTGGAGGAGCCAAGGCCGCTTTCTGCCTGGGATCTGGGGGGAGCCTGGGCCTGTGACCTCACAAGGGAGCTGAGCAGCCATTGCAGACGCACAGAGCAGGGCTCTTCTGCATCCAGGCATGGCTGCGCTGAGGCCCCCCGAACCCACCTCCCCTGGTACATCTCCCACCGTGCAAGTTCCTAAGGATGTCGAGTTCTACTCCTCAAGGCCATGGACCTGTGGTTTCCTCTAAAAATAATAACAGGCGCTGCTATGCCAGGCTGTGAGCCACCATGGATGCTTGATGTGGGTGCCCGTGGGTTTGGCATGGCGCTCTAGAGAGGTCATGTGAATAGAGGAGGGAAAGGAATGGGGTCGGCACTGTGGGGAATTGACCACTGCCCAAGCCCCTGCCCCCTACCCCCGGACCCCGTGGCAAGGTTCTGATGGTGGATTCTGCCATGGGGCAGATCCCTGCTCGTCTCCCACCCCCAGCCTGTCAAGTGGGCTGGATTCCTGGGGGAGGAAAGCCGGGCTATTCTCTCATTCTTTCTGCCTCAATTTCCTCATTGTACGACGGGCCTTCTAGGAGCACCCTCCCTGTGTGGCATGGTAGG